TAAGTGTTTGTTTTTCCTTAGTACTATGTGCCTATAAAAACGTATAGTAAGTCTTGTATCGGGTATCGCGATTTGTGATTTTGGAGCGACGAAAATTGATCTAGGCCAAATGGCATCTTATCATACAACCTGCGATGAGTTTATGGCAGGACTAGAGAAATGGCCAACTACGTCGGAACATGCCTTAAGAGAAAGGACATAAAATACGACGTAAACAGAGATAGGAACAGTTGTTAAATGGGATTCTTTTTTCTTATTGCATTGGTTGCTGTTCTTTGGAGATTCCAATATGTCAAATGGAATAATATTGGAAATGCTCTCAAGAGAAGATTCTTTTAGAAAATATTGGTCTTTCGCTTTTGTTGTATGCTATAGTCATGCATTTTCTTGAATATTATAAAAAATTTCGTGTCTGTTTTTACTTTTATATATATATAATCCAAAATAAATATCAAATATTTTATTTATAGAATAAAAGAATAAGTTTACAAACCGATAGAAACTACATTTAATAAACATTTTAAAGAAGCAGGTGTATGTTTTACTGTGATCAATTTAACATCTGTAAATTGTTTATATTTCGAATGACTTAACACATCAAAATAATTTATTTTTGTTTTGAAAACTGTTTCAAACTTCATCTTCTTATTAAAATAACATTAAATTTAGACAAATTACATAGTCTAAGTATTCCAGATTGTATCAGAAACTTTCATTTATATAAGTGGAGGCAAAAAAATGATTAGCTGGAATGACGAATGGGCATACTTATTTAAAGGGTTAAGCGATTGTACTAAGAATTGCTTCGACAATACTAGAATTGGCCAATCTCTGGGTTAGATAACAGAGTTTTCCGAGTGTCAGTACAGGCAATAAATCCACTCTAGGTAACTGCAGCACGTCTGATGCGTGATGTTGCTGCAGTAGCATCTACGAATGGAGTCGATCTAGCAGCTAGTCTGTCCAATCAGTCGAGTGGATCTGTCTGGCTGAATTCTGAAATACACGGATCTGTAATGCGTTCTTCACTCGCACTCAACCCCTACTGAAAGAGAGTTCCATTCTTTCATATTCTATGCAGTATCCATCGAATCCATATTAAACTCTCTTCAAATTTTCGAATTAACATAGAATATTGGTAGCTAATAAATAAGTTAAGTAATTCATTAATTATGTAAATTAAATAATCGATGGCTTTTTTGATAAGTCGTCATATTTTAAATCGAATCATCATCGAATGGTAAGCGGGTTATAACCTATAAATAGGTTTTTCTCGATCAGTATTTTTGATGAGATTGCATGCAAAATCGCTAGCGAAGAAACGGTAAGGTAGTTTGATTCATCATTAACGATAAATCAGACATTATTGCATTCGATTTGTCCAGATTGTTCTCTGGCGAAGTATATGGTAGGAGCAGATAGAAGATAATGTTCGTATCGAGAGATGTTTCAATTCGGAAGAGAAAATGCGCAGATGTCGTGCATTTTTTACTAAAATAAAATATCTTTTTGTAATGAATAAGTACTTGCAATATGTAAATTATACAAATAATCCCTCCAGATATATAAGCTATTCTTTTTCTCTTTTCTATCAATTTTTTAAAGAAGGAATGGGTTGTAGCAGTGATTTTTTTTTAATTTTTGGAATAAGTAGAAAATCTTTACTTTCAGATTTAGAAATAATTATTTTTCTTTAATAAAATTTTAGACAAAGAGAAGAATTTTGGAATATTTAAAAGTTTCGATTTTGCTTTATATTATTGATACAAAATATTCGTAAAATTATGATATAGAATTATATAATAAAACATCGAAAATAATCAATACGACAAGTAATATCGAGTAATAAATATAAATATATTCCATATAATAATAATAATAATAAAAGATAAAAATAAATTCATTTAATTTTTAAAAAAATACTAAAAGCACTTAAAATAATACAATAAATATTTTATAGAACATATAAAAATTATTACGACTTATATTACCGTTTTTATGTTCTTGTATCAGATATCGAAGTGCATAATTTTTGTTAAAATATCTTATTTTATTGACATATATATATATTATATACAGTATATCAGTATATGTTTTCCTATACTTTTAATTAAGCAATAGCGTAGAAGATAACACGTTTTATTAACTTAAACTGAAGTAAATGATTCTTACATCTCTTAAAATGATAATAAGAACTATTTTTAAGCTAGATACTATTATAAAATATATATATTTAGAGGTTGTACAAATTCTTCTCTTCTTATCTCCATCCAACCGGACAGGGATTCGATCAACCGTTAAGAATCCGTCCCGTTCACAACCAATACAATTCGAATCGTTTTTACGACAAACTACTCGTACTCCCATCCATGAATAGTTTTCATCCATCACAACGTTCCTTAACTCTTCTGATTTAGAAAGTGCTTTAAACTGACAAGTTACAGATCAGAGAAGCGGTTATTTTTATACTCGTCCATTGGATTTGCGGTCGGAATTTCGTCAAAATTGTAAAAAATATATGTATACCCATCATAAAAAAAGACAGAGATACAAGTTGGCAAAATGCCCAATGCCATGCATGGACATGAAACGATAGAGTTAGATCTATCAAATGAGCTTCGAGAAGAAGAATATCGTCGCTCGATATTACGAATTATCTTATTTTTTATGTTGAAATTATGAATAATTTTGAACTCGGAAGAGACAACTTCCTTTCAGTAACGACTTTATTACAACTTTTAATTGATACAAATGTGATTTATGCAATTGCAATGGAGGTTAATTTTCTCAACTTTAGCAATTTCATATAGCTAATAGCGAATTAATTCGAAACTTTTCTCTTTTTTTCCTATGGAAAAAGTTATAAACCTTTATCAGACTAAGCCAAACTCTTAGGGTTTCCGTTTATATAAAGGTAAGAAACGTAAATCTCCTGCGGGACAGAGAACGGAAGAAAATTGGTTGGAAAAAGTTGAAGCGGAATCCAGTAACTCGGAATAATAGTAGTAGGATGGTAGTAAACACCCAAGTAGCCCGACCTGTTTGGTAATCCTGGTTCGACATCCCACCAGGAACTGTGGGTAATTGGAAAACGCGAAGTAACTACTCAGCATTACTGCTGGCGTAATAAGTATCGGATAAAACTTATAGCAAACTTGATTTACTTGGATTTTATGACCCACTAACTCCTGAAAGATTTATTGGCATTTTGACTATATTCGGTTTAACGATTTCTTTAGTATTTAAACTTCCCTACCGCTTCAAAGTAAGGAAGAAACGATTCATGTCCCTCTTATTTCAAATATTTTGTTAAGATGATTTAATGAAGTTTGTTTATAGAAAAAAGTAAAAGCGGTTGAAATATTTCTGTATATATATACAGAAATATTTCAACCTCTTATATATATACCGATGAATAAAGGAAAATTTATAGTTTAAAATAAAAGTTATGGTTGCTTTATTACAAAAAATCCACATCGAAACAACGGTCACGCGAAATCTTGCACTTGAAGCACAAAAATGAATGCCTTTGGGGACAGGAAAACGAACCAGATGGCCAGACTATTTTTAGGTAACGAACTGGCCAAACTCAACCAACTCACGTCTCTTAGTGAGGAACGGAGAGAGGTTTATTGTAACTTAAGTCTCTTGGATATCGTTCCATTTGGCCCGGAGAGATTTAGGGGGTTCGATAATTTGTCCTCTGGCGAAATTTTTTAAGTTGTTAAACTCGTAAATGTTAAAGACACCGTTTGGTTTGTGTCTCTGACATATATAATCTTTTGTTCTGCAGTCTTAAAGGCTTCTCTTTTATATCTACAATCCTGCTGAATACTAAACAAGTAATTCACCAATTGATCAGAGTAAGATAAAAGTCATCCTCTTGTGTATCTTTTCTAACTCAAACTACTAAAACACGAAGTTAAAATAATAAATAATAAAAAAACCGAATTTAACTTTAACTTTTTCCTTTCTTTTTTTATAGAAATCGTATATGCATTAGGGAAAGGGAAAGTATTTTTCGATTGATTTTTATGCCAAGTCAATTTATATTGATGAAATATAATTTGCGGAATTTTCGCTTGTGTTAAACAAACTCACGAGTCGATCGAAAGCTTCAGTAAAATAAGAAAATACGAAAGACGAATTGAGTTGGTGAAAGTCGTATAAGAGTAGAATTTTGAAGCTTGGCTGCTGGATCCAAAATTCTGTCATTGATGGCAGCTGACGTTCTTTCTTTAGTGTTGGCTCAGGTGACTGACAACAAGATGGAACAGGAGTTTGTCAGATCTTTCTTCTTTTCTTTGTTATGAACTTACCCTTGGATGACATTGCCTACATTCGAATTGACTTTTATTCAAAAGGCTAAAAATATCTTTAGAAATAACTGAATTTTGAAACATTTAAATTAATTAAATATATTATTTTTCTTTATAAAACTCTTTCAGTTTCTTTATACATTTTGAATTTTATCGATTGGCAAAATTAATTCTGATCGTAATCATAATCGTTACCATCAAAACTTTTCACTTATAAATCAAAAAGTTTCTATCAAAACTTGAAAAGAGTGTAGTAGATAATACATAAGATATAGAAATTTTTAAAATTTAAAGCCTTTAACCTTATCCAAGATTTACTACTTGATTAAAACTTGTTGAAGTTTCGTTTAACTATTTATTAAAGGCATTTAAAGTAACCTCATAAATTTTATAAAAATGGAAAAATGTTACATTTAAAAATGATGTATTTTTCTCTCATGAATTTATGCATTATCTAAACCTATAAATGTTTTTAAAATTCTTTCCATAAAGTATCGAAGCATCAAGTGGAGTATTTCTCAGTTCATATTGGATTATTTAGTATTTTAACTCGTAAATTTTATCATAATTAATACAAAAAGTCTTTAATAATCATCACCTGTCGTAAATTTCCATTTTATATTTCAAAATTAATGTAAAAACTCGAGTCAAATTTTATACGTATGTTTTATATCTTTGCAGTTTTCTATAACCGTCGACGGAGTATATACAGAAAGAGGTTCGACTGCAGGAACCTTTTCTTTATTAGCTAGCAGCGTGTTGAATATAGGAGGAAGCAGCCCTATATCAGGCCCTACGGGATTCAAAGGGAGAAACAACTTCATAGGCTGCTTACGTAAGGTATTGTATGAATTTTTTGCTAAGTTCCGAATTTATACCGGTACTTTTTTAATACCAATAATAAAATAAAACGTCGAAAATAAAAATATCTTATACTTTTTACAAGTTTCTGCTGAAATTCTCTTGTTAAACTCGACAGTTTCTTCTTATCTCTCAACAACAACGACAGTAATAAAAGCAATTTATTTAATTAAAATCTGGTTTTAAAATTTATAACTTAGTGAAAATTTAATTAATACGTATGTAGATATAATTCATTAATTTTACGCAAACGTATATCATAAAAAAATTATTTACTCGTCGCAAACAGATTATCATAATTAGAAGTAAGCCATTTACTAAAATATTTTGAACAGAGATGGTATTTTGTGGAAGAGATTCGTTTACATTCACGTGGTATTTTATAGAATTTTCCATTTTCAAGCTTCAATCAGCTTGAATTCGCTCCTACTGAACTACTTGAAATTCCCAATCGCATTTCTATGTTTATTCAATATTATTGAACAGAATCTGTTCGGTTTGTTTATGGATTCGACCGCTTTACTTAAGATACCATTTTTCAATTCATGAATGTTTTATAGAGACGACGGCATTAATACTCTCTCTATATCCAATTTTTTTTCTATTTGTAGGTGGAATTCGTGGCAGACAGTCTAACTTTAGATCTGATCGAGCTGGCCAGGACTGGAAACAAACTCATAGTTCTCCATGGCAACCTGCATTTCTTGTGTCAGGAGGTTGAAGCTGCTGATCCGATCACATTCACAACCAAGGAATCTTTCCTGGTACAGTTGATATCCTTTCCTGTATATACTTGTTACGAGAGCTATTTTATATTATTTTTCTAAGCAATTCTTTACGTTTTTTATATTTGAAGCTGTAAAATCTGTTTTTCAAATATGTTTTGACTTGTTTAAAACATGCTAAAGTCGCTTGAAAGTAGATCTTTAGTAACTTAAGACAAACGTAAAGCACCTGTTATTTTGAATTTTCTTTGTGATTTTAAAGTATTTTTAAACTGTCACCTTGACAACTTATTTATTATGATGATCCAAACTTTTTAAACCGTATTTTAAATTTAAACCCGATTTTCTTAAAAAGTAATTTTCTGCACGTAAATTGACTTACAGTAAAGATTGTTACAAAAAAAAATTCTTTCTCTTAAATCGAAATTCAAATTGCGAAAACTAAATGAATAAACAGACGGACAATGAAAATTCATAAACTCGAATTGTGCTATCCAAATTGAGTTTTGGAAATAATTTCGAATAAACATTTTAAAACTTTTAGATGAAAGCGTGTTTGATTTTCATTTAATTTTTCTTATTGAAGAAGATAACAAAAAATAACTCTATAAGATATAAGCATTTATTTCCTTTCGATTTACTGTCTCTTACATCAACACCCTTAAATAAAACGAGCAGAAACTCTCAAAGAAGCCAACAATTAAGGTTGATAAATAATGTCTCTGCCAGAACTATTTTTCGTCCAGCAGATAGATTTCATTAGTTACTAATTGCAGGCTTCTATCTTCTACCATACATCATTCTTTTACTTTTGTTTCCATGAATAATTAATTTACATTAAAATGAAAAAAAACGAAAACAAAATCGTCTAGAATAATATCTAAAGAAATATAGTTTACAATATTTTATTAGGAAGTTTATTAATTATATTTTCTAATGTTTAAATCTCTTTTTTATTTAATTATACGTTATTATTTCTAGTTGTATTTTAAAAAGTTTTTAATGATAAAGTTTAGGAAAATTTTAACAATAAACAAAAAAGAAATTTAAGTAATATTAATTGAAAATGTAGAAAGAAAATGGAGAATTTTCCTATTCATTTTCTATTTTAATTCTAACAAAATTTTCAAACAGAATTGTAAGAGTATCTATTTGGTAAATATCGTTCGTTATGTATTAGTTTACTTAAGTCATTTTAATCTCGTTATTCTAGTTGCTTTCATATTCCCAGACGTCTAACAAATAATTCAATTAAGAGCATCCTGTCACCGACGCCAGTGTGCAAAGTTTGGACAATGACGCTTTTCCTACAGAAAAGAAGCCCTTCTTTTTATTAACTTTTAAAAATATTTTAAATAATAAATATACATATTTATAACTATAAGTGAGTAATTTGATGATATAACATCTGATCATACCAATTGGAAAGTGACTTGTTAACAAGCTCCCTCCCCATACTTTATACCCCTTTGGATGCTTTTTATAATTTTATTATTTAAAATTTCAAATATAATTTATTAAATATTTTATAAATATCAGTAGATTTTAATGAATTAAATTAAACTGTGTTATTATAAAGATGGATAAATATACAAAAATCGATTTAAAAATTTTAACTTTGGATCTCGTCAGTAAACAAATTTCGTAATTTTATCTCTTCATATCTTATTTCTTTGAAAATTTCACTCAAATTAATTTCTCGCAAGGGGAGTTTATAGTTTAGATATTTATAAAATTATTAATTTATATGACTTATATCGTAAGTGAAATCATACGAATATTTTAGACATATTTTTTTTTTAATTTCTCATTTTATTTTAAGTTCAGAAGGCCTTATCCTTGTAAATAAGAATTATTTTTCATTAAAATTATTATTATTAAACGAACGAATTATTATTATATTAAAATAATTTTGTACATTGTATTTTGTCGCTTCTATAATATTTTATTTGCATCATGAAAAAGAACTACTCTATTAGATCTCGAGTCTGTTTAGAAATTTGTTTACTTAGAAGTCACATTTTATATATAATTAAATAAAAGCTTGCTTTGTGAGTTCATTAAATTAATCTAATTTCACAATACGAAGTAAAATACTGCACAAAATTATATTGTTTATTGTAAAATATCATGCAATTTTTATTTAAAAAATTAATAACGCATAATGTATTGAAATTTCATTATAAAAACTAGATTAAATTTTTAACAATTCTTGGGATAAGAATAAAAGAATTTTAAATTTATATGAAAGAAACGTGGAGATGTTTTTCATAATATTCAGCATACAATGCACTTCGTTCTAAAGGTTTCTCTCTTGAGTGCAAATGATCAATAATGCTTAAGAAAAATTTCGTTGAGGCATTTTCAACTAAATAGAAGAAAAACATATATTTTTATCAGTCTTCTTTTAGTAGAATTAATACAAAATAAAAAGAATAAAACCACAGAAGACCATAGCGAAAGAATAAAGAATGAAGAAATTTAATATTGTAACTATACTAAGAAAACATTTGTTGACGAGAAAGACCTTCCAACCTATGTACAAGAAAAAGAATTTTTTAAAGCAATATAAGAAACATATAGAAATATCCTGAAGGCATCCTTTCTAAAACTAAAATCACAAAAATAAACTTAAACTATTATATAAAGTATACACGAAATCATTTTTATCTTTCGAAAATTCACAATATTAAAAAATAAAAGTTAAAGAGTATTCAATCAGAATAACTTAATGATTATTAAATTGTACAACGAAACGACAATGACAATTATTATTATTTTTATTATTATTTATTGTTTAATCAATACTTTTTGACTGAATTTTTTAATTTGTTAATTTAGTCAATAATTAAAAAAAGCGATTTTCTTCCCTCCAAAAAAGGCAAAAAAAAAAAAAAAGAAATACAATGTCCATTTTCTTATTCTGTCATTATTTAAACTGAGAAACGTGTTTCTAAATGGTTTTTACATTAGAAAACTTTTATATTTCTACTAACTTTCCCCATAATTCTTTTATTTCTCTCTGATATTAAATTTAAGATGGCATTCTAAAATTAACTGGCTCCTGTAAAACAAGAAGAGAAAAAAACAATTTCGAGGAGATTTTTAAATTAAAAGAACGTTCAGCATAAAGGATAACTTACCATTAAAACAAATTATAACTTTTAATATAAATTATAAACGATTTTATTAATTTAATTTAAATTTGTTTCTTTTTTTTGTTTTAGAATAAATCTACAATAATTTTCTTTAGAAAAAAAATCTATCAAGGAGCATTATACAGTATTTATTTAAAAATATAATTTTTTAAATTGAGTCATTTATATTATTTATGATATAAATATATGACAATCACACGAGCATGATATATAGTAATAACGTTTAATAACAGATTAAATTAAATGCGATTAACTTTCAGGGGTGTGGCCCTAAGCTGTAACATATAACAGGACCTTCACCTCCACTAAATAATGATACGTGCAAAAATATGAGGCTCTAAGCTATAACATATAACAAGTCCTTCCATCCAGTAAATAATGACACGTTTAAAAATATGAAGCCCTAAGCTGAAGCTTGTTTAACTTATGTGTAAATACGGCCCTATTAATATATTTTTTAATGAAATAAAATAAATCTCTTATTATTTGATAAAAGTTTTGTCATTGTTGATGAAACTTAAGAAAAATGAGTTTTAAATAACGATATTTAATCCTTAAAAAATCCTTATTGCATTAAAATTTAAACTTAAGATCAATGTAATTCTAGATTTAGAAGCAATAAAAACGAATTTTTATAACTTTTTTGTATTGTTTTAGGAGTATTATTGCTTCGAATTACACATTTTTTGTCAAAAATTTGAATATATAATTTAAATCTACAATAACAGAAATATTTTCCTATTTTATTTTTGACATTTTCAGCTTTTCTATTAAAAATATTGGGAGAGAATAGAAACAAAAAAATGAAAGATGAGAAAATTGTTTCAAAAATAATCAAATAAAGTTATAAATTTCATACGTAAACAAAGATTTAAATAAGCATCTAAGGAAAAAAATATATAGAAATCATGTTTGAAATCCTTTTTATTGCAAATTCCTTATCTAATTTATTGCAAAATTAGAAGTAAATTCTAATTTTTTTTTCAATAGAAACTTAAAAAAAATCTAATATATAATTTTTTCATTCTTTCACTTTTAAATTTATTTTCACAAGCAATAATTTTGTTCACCTAAAAATTCAATAATTGGAAAATTTTCTTTTCTTTTAGTATTTAGATAAAAGCATTCATCGCTGGTTAATTTTTATATAAATTTTTACACGAAATTTAATTATTCTAACAATTTAATTCTGTCAAAAAATTCTTATTTATAATTTAAAGGGAACAGATTTACGGATGTGAAATTTTTAAATTTCATTTTGGATTTATTCGAATTTAATTTATAGAAAATGTTATAGATATATTTTATTCTTTAGTGGAATGATCGTAGTCGAAATACTGAAAATGTCTCGGTAATATCGAAATTTTTCGATATTACAAAGACATTTAGACTGGATGTCGAGAGATTCGAGTGCCTATGAGAAAATCTACTGGTGGAGAAGCCATAGATTAAAAGTGATGTAAGAGTGCAGTTGAAGTGTTAAGTCGACTGGAACGATGAAATTTCTCTCGGGGTTATGGGTTTCAATGATCTCGATACCGTTGAGATCCGGTTTATTGCCTTCACTGTTGTGACCCAATATCGTCACCTAGCAGATGGTTGATAGACAGCTATTCACTTCTTCCCAACTTAGATCTGCCTCAAACAAGTTCTGCTTTTGTGATAAAGTTGCTATATATATTGACTACCTAGTCTACAGAGATTGCCATTGATTTTGTTAAAGCTTATACATAAACGTCGTCTAACAAAAATTAACGATTTATTAATATTGAACTTCGAAAGTTTCAATGCCAGATTCAACGTTGTTTACGGTATTTGATTTTACACTGATTTTTTTCATTGTATTGTTTACAGTATTTGATTTTACACTGATTTNAAAAT